AAAACGTATATAAGATCAGCCGTGACACACTTTCTCAGCCCGCACTACCTTTGTCCACCACCAGATGGAGACTCCACTCCAATCCAGCTGGTCGACCACACACTGGCAGATACAAATCTTACATACAATCTGGTGCACTGATTAGAGTTGAGGACCAGCTTAGTAATTACACACCCTTCTTCTAAGTTCCTCCAGCTACCTACAGCTTGAACCCCGGTGTTAATCACCCTTCCACTGTCCACACACCCCCTCGCACCAGACACACCACAAAAGGTAGCCTGCCACCACCCAACAGTTTATCCGCAGAACGGTCTGCTGGGACACCCCCACACACACAGATCTTCGTCTGGCCGATCTGTTACCTTTTACAATCTGCACGCAATCTGCCCATGCACAGTGCAATTGCATACAGATTGGCAATGAGCTTGACCGAGCGTTTAAAGGCACTAACATACAATCCAATCTAATCCAATCTAATCTCTCCAATCTAATCTCTCCGAAGATATGAGCACGTGCTTAAATACACAGAAGTCACTAATTATTTTAAGATTTAATTTCCCGAAAGTGGGCAGTGCATAAAATATGTACAAAATATAAAAAGTTACAGAAATACAAAAAATACAAGAAGACACACAAATGACTATTCACTATAAAATAAAAAGGGAATAAAAGACAGAAGTAAAACTTTACCAGTATTTACCCTGTGACTGGAGCAAGTCAGAGAATCAGCAATCCATTGGTCGATCGAACCAGCTCCATACGAATAGCAAATGTCCCAGTGACCGGGTACCCCATTTATGGAGATGTGGACGTAGGTGGGACATTAGTCCTCGGCCAATTGACCATGGGGGGGGGGGTGTTCCTGTACCTGCCCACAGGATGTTCTGGGTGTTGACCTGCCCAAGTTCAATTGGGCCAAGACCGGCTTGAAACACCAAGTCGGGGATTGGATTTCCAACACCAGCGCATCAGTCTGATTACGACAGTATCAAACACCATTCGACTGTCGCCATCCAGCACCACCTAACCATTTCCTGCATTTTCCTGGCCTTCTGTCTAAACCACAATATGATTTTTAGTGCAGATGTAGCCTACAGAATGCCCAAATAGAAGGGAGTATGTTCATCTGTCTGCAACTAATATTTTAGCTTTTATGAGGGATAAAACATACTTCTTTGATGTATGTATATTCCTTTTAGAGCTTCCAATGTCAGGCAGACAACCCAGCTGCAATCATTTCTTCCAAACCGGTTTTGCCAGAAGGTGACAACCTTATTAACACAAAAGGTGTCACATCCCTGAAGCCTGGCTTTTCAGCCTAATTGATGCTAATTGTACCTCATTTCCCCAATGACAAGGACTGAATATACATCCTTAATGACAATGGAATGTCCCTACAGAATATACATCCTTAATGACAATGGAATGTCCCTCCAGTTACGATTACATCTTATCTACTCAAATCTGTATATTTATGTCACATGCACGTTACATCATTCACATGTACGTTACATCCACCTTCTACCTCACCTATCAGAACACCAGCTAGCAGCTTCTTGGTATGTCATCATGGATCCTTGTCACTCAATCTCTAAGTTGCTTCGTATACAAACACATGGCTAGGGGTGAGTTCAGGGTCTTGGGTAGGGAAGTGGTGGTATGTGAACTGCAAATGTACATAGAAGAGTGCAGGAGGAAGGTGGTGGAAGAAGGTGAGGTTTTGGCTGAAGGCTTTGTGAATCTATAAAGTTCAGTGGGAACATTTTTCAAGTGGCCTGGGCAGCTAGGTGCTGACCCTGGCAATCATGGAAACCTAGGCCAACCTATGTGATCTTGTGAGAAATCCAGCCCTGTATATGTACTATACACCAGAAATGTATAGTTATCCACAAATAAAAGATTTACATGGTTACACTCACTAACCTAAATGAACCCCTTCACACTAACCGTACGCACATACATGCGGCCTCACAGAAGTGGGTCTTTTTCCGTGGGGCTGCATATATGCTTATCTCTCTTTGTGCTGGGAGTGCGCTTGCTCCCAGCAGCATGGAACTCGGGTCTCATACTAACAATCGGGACCCAGATCTTTGGGTTCCAGGTCACCTGATCACTGTGATAGCCACTGATTGGCTATCACTGTGATTATTCACTGTGAGTCCTCCCCTGTGTTTACTTCCTCTTCTGAATGAAGGGAAAGATTCATTGTATCTTTCTCTTCTTGCAGGAGAGGAAGACATACACACACAAATGTGTAAAAAATTAAATAAGAAAATTAAAATAAAGAATGAAAGAAAAAAAAGAAAAAGAAAGAAAAAATAACAAGATTAAGATTTGCCAGGGTTAGTGTTAGGGTCAAGGTCGGAGTCAAAGGTTAAGGTTAGGGGGTCAAAGGTCACGGATAGCAAATTTTGGGTACAATTTTAAAAAAAAAATTAATTAGTATTATTGTCAGTGTCAGTGTGTTATAGTCAGGATAAAAAAATACACACACCATTCTTTCTGGGCTCTACTACGGGTACAAACAACAACTAATATACACATATGTGGTTTCTCTGTGATCATCAGAAGATGGAAAAACAATTCTTTTTTACTATTTTTTCTTACTAGTCAATCAGTAATCTAGTAAGTAATCAGGACATAACCATTACCATGAAAATTAAGCCACATTTGTCCTAAAAAAAACAGGATATAATCCACCTGGATGCACAAAGTAATTGTGACGATACGTACAGTTTTACTAACACATGTCACAGTTGAAAAATTGTGCTTAGACATTAACATTTGTTTTACCCTTAGGCAGGAAGGGATTAAGAAATGAACCACAAGTATTTTAGATTTGTGTTAGTGGCAAATGCACAGTCATACATATATACTGTGCCCTGCTACATTATCAGAAGCCAGAGTGCACAATGTAACAAGCGTACACACAGTGAAAAATGCAGCCCTCCATTTTGTTAAGAAATCTCCATTTTTTTCCCCTCATTTCCCCCCTTCCTCTCTGTTCATACACATTGATATATGGCCTGTGTGTTAAAAAGTGTCACAGGCCAGAGCCCAGCAGGGAGCCCAGAGCTATACACCTCGGAATATGAGAGACTTGGAATATGAGATACACCTTGGAATATGAGAGACTTACACAAAAAACAGGCATATTTTCAAATTGGCCACAAACAGTTTGATAGGTCAAACAGGAGACAAACAGGTCACTCTCCTTGGCTTGATCTGCTAACCCAGGACTTTGGCAAGTACTTTAACCCTCTAACTTCTTTCTGTTATCTCTTTGCTGTGCTGTTGCTCTCTGTATATTTATATATATATTGATTACATCTTTTTTCTGTAAATATTTTTATTGCACCCTTTTGACCTTTTAGTAATAAATCTTTCTTTCTGAAAGTGTTGAACTGTTTCTATAGCTCTTTATTGCAATTTACGAATTCCTGCCTCTAAAAGAGCACTACTGTGTTTGTTTAACCTTCTCTATAACCGGCCTGCGGTGACCATGTTATACAGATGATTATCTCAACCATTATGATGTTATAGCTGATATCGCCGAGTTTCCTCTTTGTCTGTACAAAAAGGAGGTGATGCAGTGTAAAGGATTATTTGCGTAATTAACCTGACCCAGTAACAATCGCTCCCAGGCTGCCAGTACATAGATTGTGGTCCAATTAGCTGGAAAATCGTTGTGCAGGGTGCAACTGGGCGTGGCATTGTTACGAACGTGACATCGCGGTGTTAGATTGACCAGTCCTTCGGTCACGAATTTGGTGAGAAGGCCAGGGGCCTGAAGCCGTGTTCGTCACATATAGGTGGCAGCGATCGTGGGATCGTCACATATTGGTTGGCAGCATACGTGGGATAGTTGCATTAAGAGCTTCAGTGCAGTGTTAAAAATTGGCCCTGCACTGAAGGATTGTAGCCTTTGTGGAAACAGTGCATATTTTATATATATATATAGAGAGAGAGACATATAGCAACAGCTCCTTCCTTTTTCTACTTTCTATTCTATCTTTGCTTGCAAATATGCCTGGTGACACAGAATACAAGAAAAGTGATTTGATTGCGGAGTGTGCCTCATGGGGAATGGACGTCAGTCTCAAAACTCGTGAAGATTTGATTTTGGATCTACAGGAGCATGATAGCCGAGCAGATCAGAACTCGGGGGAACTTGACCATGACGGGGTTTCCCGCCACCTACGTTCCCAGTGGTTCAGAAATGGCCTCGCAGGATGGGAATACAGAGACTGCCACTGGAGGATCACTGAAAAGTATCGTCACACCACGCCTGAGCGGGCCAGCAACGGAGTGCCTGTAGCCAGCAGAGACTCTTCTCAGATGCAGGAAGCCCTGAAACGCATCATGAAAGATACATTCTATGGCAGTGATGGCGAACCTTTTTGAGCCCGAGTGCCCAAAATGCTGCAACACAAAAACAACTTTTTTATTTCAAAGTGCCAACACTGGAATTAATCACTTGCCTACTGGACACTTCTACCCCCTTCCTGCCCAGGACAATTTTCAGCTTTCAGTGCTGTTGCACTTAACAATGACAATTGTGCGGTCATGCAACACTGTAACCATATGCAATTTTTATCATTTTTTCAAACAAATAGAGCTTTTTTTGGTGGTATTTAATCACCACTGGGTGTTTTATTTTTTGCACTATAAATGAAAAAAGAGCAAAAAATTAAAAACATAAAAGGTTTCCTTTGCTTCTATTCTAAATTTTGCAAACAGGTAATATTTCTTCTTTGATGTGCGTTGGTGAGGCTGCACTGATAGGCAGCACTGATGGGCATTGATGAGGCGGTACAGATAGCTAGCACTGATGAGGCGGCACTGGTGAGCATTGATGAGGAGGCACTGATGATGCACTGATATGCAGGAAATGATGGGCACTGATAAGCGGCACTGACTGATAGCACCAACTGGAAGCACTGACTGATAGCACCAACTGGAAGCACTGACAGACGGCACTGACTGGCGGCACTGCTGGGCTTCATTGATGGGTGGCACTGATGGGCAGCACTAATGAGGTGGCACAGATAGGTGGCACTGATATGCGGCACTGATTGGTGGCACTGATAGGCGACACTGATAATGGGTACTGATAGACAGCACTGATAGGTGGCACTGACTGACATCACTGCTGGGCACTGACTGGCGGCATGCTGGGCACTGACTGGCACAACTGCTGGGCACTGACTGGTGGCACTGACTGGCAGCACTGCTGGACTGCACTGATGGGCACTGGTGGGTGGCACTGGTGGGCACAGGTGGGTTGGCACAGGTGGGTGGCACTACTGGACACAGGTAGGTGGCACTTCTGGGCACAGGTGGGCGGCACAGGTGGGGTGGGTGCATTGCTGGGCACAGGTGGGCGCACTGCTGGGCATATGTGGGCACACACTGCTGGGCACAGGTGGGTGCATTGCTGGGCACAGGTGGGCGCACTGCTGGGCACAGGTGGGTGCATTGCTGGGCACAGGTGGGCAGAACTTGTGTGTGGCACTGCTTGGCACCGATCATCAGGGCACTGATGATCAGTGACCCTGATGATCGGTGCCGTTCCCTGCTCTGACAACTGCCGGTTTTCGGCAGTACTTTCCTCACGATCTGACAGCGTGAGGAAAGTGCAGCCGAGAACCGGCATTTGCATTTTCCCGGTGATCAGCGTGTCATTGGACACGGCTGATCACGTGGTAAAAGGCCGCTGTGATTGGCCTTTTACCACGTCACGTGATCAGCTGTGTCCGTAGGACACAGCAATCACGGAGGTCGCCCGGTGCGCGCCCCCGGGGGTGCTCAGGAGAGCGCGTTCTTCCTCTTCTTCCTGGCGTGCCCACTGAGAAGGCTCTGCGTGCCAGCTCTGGCAAGCATGCCATAGGTTCACCATCACTGTTCTATGGCATACATGCAGCTCCTTGACCGCCAGGCTGAGAGAGCGGGATGACAGAGAGGCTGTGGAACGCCAAGCTGAGAGAGAGGAATGCTAGAGGGAAGCTGATCGTTGGCATGAACTGGAGATGGCGAGGCTCCAGCAGCAACAGATTTACTGTCATTTGAAAAAACGTGCTGTCCAGTACTGACTCGACGGGAAACCCAAAAAAACTCATGGGTTTCAGTAACATTTTGACTGCTGAAGCCAGATATGAAAAGTAGTTGTTTATTATTCAAGCATTGTAAGAGCATAGACCTCCATGCAGGGAGTAGTCAGAACAATACATGGAGTTGGATTTTCAAAGTAATGCTCTATCTAACTAGGTGCTTTCTTAATACAATTATTATATGCTCTACAGTGGGTGGTACCTATGCTATTGGATCTTTCTTTTGAAGAGTCCTCTGAGTCTTTGTTGTAACTTCATTGAAGTATTGGCGACTATGAGGCTACACATGTTATTGTTTACCTTCCATTGTCCTTTGGGTTTTTAAACAGGGTCTTCAAAAGGCTGTGATAATAATCTTGTAGACAATAGGTGGTTGTTGAATGCTGGGGAAGTGAAGTGCCAATGTTGAGCCAACAGGATGAGGGCAGTGAGGTGTGAATTGAAACTGTTTTTTCTCATACAGTCCAGAAAAATAAATAGGTTGTTAGGCTATCTAAATTCTAATACCAATTGTAATTTAATCATTTAATATCTAAAAATGGCGATTGTTTGCTCCCATTTTTCGCCTTACAATCTCTCCTCTGGACATCATATTGTTCCAACCAATTATCCCATCCTAAAAAGAGAAATTTGAGAAACATATTTGCTTTACAAATTCCTCCCCTTAAAAGTTCTCATGACATCCTCAACTTTGTTTGCCTAATATCTTCTTCTAGTTCATATTTTACTTCTGCATAAAAAATCTAGTTTTGCTTTCACAAAAGTCTGAGAAAAATGCAAAAACAATTAACAAAAAATTAAAAATCAAAAAAGACTAAAAAAACTGTGTGTTGGGCTAACTGTTTTATGAACGCCAATGTCCTGTAGGGGGGTTGATTCCTCCAATGTATCCTTGACAGCTAGGTTCCTCCATTAAGACTGTACTGCAACACCTAAGAACTCGTACAATGAACATACATACTTATTATCTTCAGGAACCATCGCACGTCCACATTACCAAGAACTTTCCGGTAGGTTGTGCATGATCAGCTGCAATTACTAGCAAATTGATGCTTTGAACTTCTATTCATGGGACAGCTGAAATGATAAGTGGAAATGTTCCTTCAGATACTTAAAAAGATTTGAAACCACATTATCTCCATACACTGTTGTTTGTGTGCTGATCTCAAGAAGTTCCAGGAATAAGGGAGGATATTTTTGAAAAGATGGCTGTCATTTCAGATTGCTAGTCCAACATTAGGGTATTTAACAAAAATGCCCATGAAGCCTTGTGCGTTTTTTATTTTCTGCGAAGTAAATCTGTGTTATATAGAGACAATAAAGACCTAGAAGAAACGAAAATACATTCTTAATACAAGGAGAAACCACTCTCACTATGTGTATAATGGTGTTACTCCAGTCGTCATCCCAAGACTTAAACTACACTATTTCATAATTCAATCATTGAACAATCGGCCATCTTAAAACGGGCCTGATTCATGTATGGCTTGGGATCATATGACCTTACAGTTGACCAGGGAAACATGTAAATACAGAGACATGATGACATGGAGAGCACAGAATACAGGACTTAGAAGGAATGGAGTGAGGCAACAGTTTCAGCACTGGGGGTACTGAATCTTTAAAAGTCAAGCCAGTACACAAAATCGCTAGTAGAGAAACACTTGTTAGCACTGGGGATCAGGGCTCGACGGAGGAATGCAGGCACACAGTATTACAACTGAATATATTCAAGGGGATTTCTAAGACAGGAAGGATACCCCAACATTATCATTCTAGGGAGAAACAACAGCAATGTTCCGCACATGGCAAACAAGGGCGATGGGCCCTTTGTTAATGGGCTAATGCGCGGAGTCTAAGGAACTCTGCCTTGTCTTCTCCAGATCTTCTTGAAGGTAAGAGATGGGGTTGCTGCAACAGTCCGTCGCCCAGGTTGCGGTCCTTCGTACTCACCCCGGCAGGAAGCGTACTGGGAATTATTACTAACTGATAAATACGAAACCCCTTGCTGTGATGAGGCACAGGGGTTCACTGGACAGTTAGGGAGCTCAGTTCAAGCTGACCATGCATAGAAACACACCGTCAGAACAGAACTGGGAACAGAAAAAACTAGGAGTAGATATTAAAGCAAAAGCAAAACAAACAGGGGTCTCCTAAGAGCATATAGAGATGTACAGTGACACCAAACAGGAAACAGGTATTGAAACACATTCAGAGGACACAGAGACAATCATCTGCCTAGGACCTTTAAGTTGTAAAGCCCTGAGGCGAAAGAGCCACATTAGAATTGAGAAGAGGATGGCCTGGCTGGGCTCATTAAATCAGCAGGAGGTTAAGCAGCCTTAACACAATTCTTGTGGGACAATAGGCAAACAGCAGAACCTTATAATTTAAAGTCATTGGGAAAACTACATGTACCAGGCATACCCCCCTGCTGGCTCTTTGGAAATAGAGGGAGACAGCATCTGAGGAAAAGCAGAAGACCCAGACATAGATTTAATTTTAAAATCATGACAATATCTAACTGAGCTTCGCAATCAATATAGTAACACTAACATAACATTAATTATATTTTCTTAGGAATATTATAGGTGTTAAAATAGGAGAAACAATTATTCAACTCAACAAGTCAAACTTTCACAAACAAAACATAAAAACTTTATAAGGATAGAAAATGCTCAGTTCTAATTGTCACTTGGTACAAAGGGGATTTCTTGGCTTTGTCTGGTTTCGTTTTGGGAACTCTCCTATAGTGTTGAACTCGGATAATATACCAGAGAGCCGCATACACAATTTAAGATCAGGAAACACACAAACAAAGCACAAGATCTAACACCCCAAAAAATAGGCAACCTATGGAAACTTCCAAAGAAGGTACAATAACTTTAAACCAACTACACCGATATCAAGCTAATTGGGGGTGGATGAAACATATAAGTATTATACAAAAGAAAACAGACCTAATAAAACAAGTGAAGAATAACAATTTGGAACACAATACTTCCCTTGGTGATTGTTTTTTTTTTATTGAGGCTGTGATTCTTTCCGTTCTGAAAGCCTGAAAGAAGTCCGAACCAATGTCAATTGATCTAAATCTGAGCGAATACAGACATCAATTACATTTTAGTAGAAGAAACATGACACTTTCCTCCTAATCAAACCAATGGTTAAAGATCTAACAACAAAACATACAGTACCATACTCTTTTTCAAATTTTCTCTTAGATTGTTCTAACAGTGCACTTTTCTAATACCAAAAATTTTAATTGACGTCAAATTAATTTAATACCACACGTGGATTTGTGTTTAGTTATACCATTAAGAAAAAATATCTTAATTATAACACATGGTTTAAAAATGAGGCAGCTCAATGTAAACCTTTTAGTAAGCTAACCCATTTGTGTGTCAAGAGTTATACTTCCACCATTACTGAAACACATTGGTAACTTCCAAAACTGTATCTTCTAAAAAAACAAACATCACAAACACAAGATAGTGAATACACATCCTAACAATTCACTATTAACATCTGATTTCCTTTTAGAGTTCACTTGGGCTCATTAAATTTGCTATGAATCATACAGCTGTTTCTCCATTCACAAACCCAGGCAATTAAACATGTGGTTAAAGGAAAAGGGGAAGGGGGGGGGGGTACAGCACTGGGTGGGACTTGTCAGCACCCTTTAAACATATGAGACAAGCACTCCTGATTTTTAAACTTTTAAAATAAGGTCATTGAAAATGCTTTTTTGACATTGTCACTAATTCTTTTAACATCCCCCATTGACTTTTTATCAATTTTAATTAACTGCAATGGGTGTGGCTTAAATGTCCAAACCAATAGTTACCCCAGCAAGCTTTCACACAATTTTCACTTACATTTCTTAGATTTATTTTTTTTAGAATGATAATATTCTACATGTTTTTTTTTTTTTTCTTTGAGGTTTTTTACATTCCTAAATTTGGAAAGTGCAAAACTTCGTGCATAATTACACTTATAGCTATTAACTATTTTAAATGATTAGGAACCCCAATTCCATGTCCTCAATTAGTTTTAAACTTCTAAAAGTCAAAAATCAAAATTTAGTAATTTTAATGGTCAAAATGTGTTTATCTTCTAGATTTTTGCCATGACCAACATGGTATTGACTCGTTACCTTTACGTGCAAACATCACATCACCTTAAAACATAAGTAATCAAACACACAAATACAATCCATTATGCCACTGATAATTGAATCAGTATTGGTCAAATCTTTTGCTGATAGGGCACTTACGGCACATTAATACAGTCATCCCAGCCAATACAACATACAATCCATGGAGCTCACACATCTTAACACAAACACCATACT